CCGAGCACCTTCCCACCACCCACCTTCCCCACCGACCCACCCCCCATCCCCCGCAGCATCATCGACTACCAGCACGACCCCAGCGACGTGGTGGGCGGCGCGCTGGTGGGCACCATGATCGCGCTCGTCTACCTGCTGCGTGCCATACCGCGCTGGAAGCGCGTGCTGGAGGCGGAGAGCGGTGAGGGCGGCGGCCGCGGCCGGCGGGCTGCCGGGCTGCCTGGCTGGATGGCGGGCTGGTTGCTGCATGGGCGTGGCGCATGCATGGGCGTGGCGCATGTGGGAGCCGTTGCCGCAGGCCCCGCCTCGTGCTGCGCTCCCGTGTGGCGTGGGCTGCGCTGCGCCTCTGCTTGGCTCGCTGCTGAGCCTGCCTGCCGCGCGTGCCTGCAGGGAGCGCCAGGGCAATGGCCAGCTCTGGGGATGTGGAGGCGCCTCTGGGAGGCTCGGCCAAGCAGCATGGAATGCCTGGATCGAGCGAGGTGGTGTGATGCGGGTCAGCGCAGGACAGACAGCAGCACCAGCGCTTGAGGGCACATGGGGATGCAGGCGGGCGACGAGCAGCCGCCGCCACGCGCCCCTGCTCGCCCTGTAGCTGGTGGCAGCACCTCCAGCCATCACCCGCAACGTCCCCGTGCCCCCTCATCAGGACAGCTCAGTGCTCCATTCTACCATTAATTACTTGCTGCCTTGGTTTGTCTGCCAGTGGAAGTTTGGATCACATTCACCTTTCACAGTTTTCAATCCCCGTTCTCCCGACTCTGCTGCACTGCCCATCAGCCCTCCCCTTGCTTTCCCTCCCCAGCTTGCAAAACAGCCTGCGACAGTCCGGGCGCCAGGACCCAGGTGCATGATCAGTTGCCATGCAGTAGCAGAGCCATATGTTTTACAGGCTCGGAAGAGGGATTCAACCAAAGGTTTTGTCACTGCTGGCGGTACAGGCGCTGCAGAGGTGGTACAGTCTGCGGGCTTCGGACTTGTCAAAAGTGGTATCGGTCTCCCTGGTGCGATTGCTGCGCCCTCGGTGCATCACAGGCACGAACAGCATAAGAGCGGTGTGTGCGGGTGCTGCCCGCGGCCTGGCCCCGTCCAAACGGAGTGGGGCTCACAACCTTCGTGATGGCGTCACAAAGCTGACCAGTGAGTCTAGCATACAAAGGCGGCAGCAGGGGAGCCCTGCCGTGAGCGCTGAACTGTGTCACCGCCGCTGCCGCTCGGCGGCAACAAGCGGCTTCCCTTCCAACATCGCTTCTGCAGGAATAACATGCCTAGCGCGGCGCAGCTGGCGCTGCCGCTCCTGCTCCTGCTGCTGCTCCTGGCGCTGCCACCAGCGGCGCATGCTCGCCCAGGCAGGAGCGGCAGCACCAGGGATCGGCGGCTGGCGCAGCCGGACGACGCACCCAGCCTGTTCACGCGCGTTGGCTCCTGGGAGGAGGCTGCGGCCGCTCTTGTGGCTCATGGCCTGCTGCCGGCACCAGGCACCGTGGTGGCCGCCGCCTACAATGTGCCGGTGAGGAGGCGCAGGGGGCGCAGGGCTTGCTGCTTGACCCAGCTGCCTGGCCCGGCGGCTCTGGGAGCAGCACAGGCTGGACAGGTGCTGCCAGATGTGATCATGTGTGTAGATGCCAGCAACATCTTGGCTGGCTGTGGGGGAGACAGCAGCTGGGCAGGGTGCCCATTCCAACGTCCTGCCACTCGCCTGCCTGCCGGTTGCAGGACGCTGCCCTGAACGCGCTGTGGCCGCAGTGGACTTCGAGGTACAACAAAAAATACAGCTCCGTGCCTGAGGTGACTCATCAGTTGGTCCAGGGTCGAGCAGCCGGCTACCCAGCCGACCGCCAGCTTGCTTTGCTTGTATGTTGTCCAGCGCTGCGGCGGCGCAGAGGTGCCTGCTGTGGCTGGCAAGTGTGTGCGCCCAACCGCTGCCCTCCCGCGGGGGAGAAAGCTCTGCTGGCCCTGCCTGCCTGCAGCACAACCGGCGCAAGACCATCTTCAAGGGCAACGTGCGGCGCGTGGTGCGTGGCATGCAGGACATCAACCCCCGCAACTGGTAGGCAGCGCTGGCGGGCTGGCGGGCGGAGGGGGGAGGCGGAGGGGCACCCGCCGTGCCGGCGTGTCGGGGCCTGGGGCAGCAGCCGCACGTCGCCCTCGGCACAGCACACCCCCTGGCCTCGCTGGCGGGGCCCCGCGCCGCCCCTCACGTGCTCCACCCCACCCCCACCCCAGCCTCTTTCTTGCTGCTGTGCCCCTTTCTTTCCCACCCTGTCCCACCCATGCTTTTTGTTGCTGCTGTGCCCCTTCCTTTCCAAATCTGACGCACAGCTGTGTTACCTGGCGCCTGCAGGTACATCCTGAACAGCAGGATGGACAAAAACTACTGGGAGGTGGGCTCCTCCCTCTACCTGCCCCCCATCAAGGACGCCGACACCGAGGACCCCAAGTTCGGCACCCCCGCCGGCGCCCTGCCCGCGCTGTCCCCCACCTCGCAGCGCGCCGTGGACTGGCGCGCGCGCGGCCGCGTCAGCTGGGCCAAAGATCAAGGCGACTGCAACGCGTGCTGGGCGTACGCCGCGCTGGGAGCTGTGGAGTCGGCCCTGCTCATCGCCACGGGCCGCACCCACGCCCAGCTGGCTGTCGGAGCAGCAGATGGTGGACTGCGTGAGCGCGGCGGCGGGCTACGACAGCCACGGCTGCGCCAACGGCTCGCTGGTGGACGTCTTTGCCTACGCCTCCAGGTGGGTGTGTGTGTGTGTGTGTGTGTGTGTGTGTGTGTGCGGGCT